ATATATACAGATAGATATTATCTGCACAAATGTAAGGTAAAAATAAGCCTTAATTGCTTCCAGTAGGCAACAGCACAACATACTTACAATGCAATTAAGATTGATAACCACACATGTAGTTACCAATACACTCAATCGAATCAAGTCAGCTACAACACTTTTTAACCACCCCATACAATCACGGTACATTTGTGGAATATCAGGATCGAAACTTACCAGAGCTTCTGCCGCGATCACCATATCTGCCCTCGCAGCACCGTTTTTTCTGGAGCGTTTCTCTGTAGATTGGGGTTTGAAAAATATTTAGCTCGCCTCGGGAAGACCATAAACGCCTCGGCTGCTCGCGGAAGAGTGATTTTAATCTTGCAAAATAATTTAGTAATAGCAAAAGTTTTGCTTTTCTCAATTGCTGACCGAATAAATGCGAGGAGCAGGCATAAGGAATTAATGTAACGTGTGTATCTGCCGTAGAACATGAACTGCGCGACCCAACTTCCCAGCCATTTGCACGGCACTCCCATTCAGTCTCTATCGTGTTATAGTACGGCGACTTATTCGTCGTATATTAAGTAGCAAAAACCTCGCGTAACGAGAACGCAAACCACATCGTCTGTCTGGGTGGGCCCAGATCGAGAGAACACAAAATAGTTTGCGATAGACAGCGTATGCACTTACTGTTTCGGCCGTATTTATTTTTCTTCTGCGGCGTCCCGTTGGTTTGTGAGTGCAGGCGCTTGTCGAGTCGCTTTACATCAGTATCTAGCTTGTTGATGTGTTTGTCAATCTGGAATAAGGAGGAAAAAAAAATGGAATAATGAAATTTAAGCCAGTGAACGCTTGGCATGAGCAAGAAACATTGAAATCCGAGGCGACCTCGCTCTCCAGTGACAAATAGATAGAACGAAGACCAATCTAGCACGAACCATACATCGCGCAGACACTAAAAAATGGTGAAATAAGCACGACCAGTAAATGTCAGCATATACGTAAACTGAAGGTATATACAACAAACGAAGTAAAGGTATTAAGAGATGCGCAGGTATGCCCCTAGCACACACTTTGTGATCGCATGCTTGCGAGTTGGGAAGCGGTTCAGACATAACTTTAAGTGTTGAGCTTGGTAGAGCTATAATCTGAACCGAATCTGTCCTACAACGCGCTAATCTGTTAACGTGCTAGCACTGATAAACAGCTACTGTTGACTTGCACATTCAGATATTTTACTGCTCGAAAGATGCTTGATGCACAGCCGATATGATCAAACAATCAAATATTGCCCAACAATTGATGCACGCCAATGTGCGATGACGTAAACTAGTAAACAGGTGTGCCAGGGTAAAGTCCACGACATTAAAAATCAAATCCTTCACATATGGGCTGATAATGGATTGATTATATACTGGAAAGCGTACTTTCATACAGCTCCCACATCTTGCATGTGGCACAACCATATTCCTTGTATTGTATCGGATTTTCATGGTGAAAATAAGAATGAGATACAAAGCATGTATTCCACGTGTGGCGTATAGAGAATATCCTCATCCTAACCACTTTATGAGATTTACATCTATGTCCACACCTTACACGTATACAAATGCATATCACAAAAATTATGGGCCAAATACAGAACACGCCACTGACCAGAGCATAGGCACCCTGTGTAATCTCAATTTTCTTGTCGCACAGCTGGTTGGCCTTCCGAAATGTTTCCTGATCAGATTAGAGGGGTATTGGCAGACAGTCAGTGTGAGAGTAGAGCGATCGTTTCAAAAACCTATGCGTACGAGTATCACCTTCCCTCTTCAGTATGCCAATAACTGCACTTCGCGCAAATATTAGTAGGGAGGGTCACACTGCTTTCAAGTGGAAACCGAGATATATACGACATACTGTACGTTCGAACTCGCATCCATCTTGTCTGGTCCTCCATTAACAAGGTAGTAAGATACAATACTATACTCGGGGCACATGCGTCTACCTGAAGCTTTATTGCAACGAGAGTTCGCCGCATTCGACCAAAGAACAATCCAGCTGTTCGGTCACGTGTATTGGGTTTATGACAGCGACGGGGTATCTCGTATAAATAATAGAGCATACTTATAGATGCACACACCTGTATCTCGTCCACTTTTCTCTTCCGCTCGACTGTGTTTAAGTCACACAAGCTCTCGTACAGTTTCTCGTGTGGAACAGTGATAGACTCGAGCATCTGTATACCCCCCCCCCAAAAAAAAATGCAGAAGAATTTAGTGAATATGCACGTTGTCCAAGTCTCAAAAGGATTCAAACTGTAGATAGCTGCCTACCCTCGTAGTATCTGAAGATTATATCTACTCAGACCCTTGCGGTATATACATGTAGAACTAGCCTACTATTCAACTCGTACAGTCCACCAGCAGATTGGTGCAAAGTTCCAAGAATAACATAACAGGACAGCGAATTTCATTGTACGAATGCGAAATGCACTTGTACGTGAGCCAATCTCAAGCCCTATACAGTGGCATGGGCTGAGAGAAGACAAAAAACAGTTTCATTTGAAACAATTACTAAGAAGACATTTTTTTATAGAAGACAGTCTGCGTCAAACAACACAAGTAAGAGACTGAGGAACGTGCTCAAAATTGAAACACCTTGCATTAAAACACATACCTCATCAACCTGGCGTGTGACTTCATCAACATTGGCCATCTTCAGGGATAGAGTTGGCAGTAGATCACTGATATGTGCCAGGTATTTGTCTAGATACGTTTCCTTCTCCGAAGATTTCATAGTAGCAACTTGTTAAATCTTCACTGTGAAATAGGACTATTGTGACTCAACAATATGAATATTGAAATTACCTTATTGCCCGAATCTGTTTCAAGAATAGGGTTAAAAACAACGTCTGACAACATAC